GACACCGAGAATTGAACTCGTAATTATTTAAACTTCGGTTATCAGGTTGTCGAACAACGCACGGCGCACACGGGTTAGCCCGCTCGGCCAACCCGCCTCCGTTTAATTTATGTCTGTTTTTGAGCTTTTACTTCTTATATTAATTTAAATATACATTCGATTCCATCCACAACTGAAATAATTTTTATAAATTTAAGTAGTAAGATTAATTAGTTGTGTTACTTCAAAGTATTTTAACAATTTGGCCTCAATAGTACATTATTTTAGTTTTAATCAGAATATTTATCAAGTTTTGCTTATTTGCTTTCAATTTCTTATATCGTATATTTTCATCAAATTATTAATATATCTCTAAAACATTGTGAATAGCTTCATCTTATCGTAATTTGAAACTTTTTTGCCTGCAAAAGTTCTCACTAAACTAATTAATTGGGAATTTAATCGGAGTTGACGGTGTTAAACTGATTCACCGTCGGTATACTGTCGGTCATATTTTGTTTATATTTATATTTTTCATTGGATAACAGTAAAACTTCATTTATAGGATGAGCTTTATATATTATGTAAAATTTACTAACGATCCCGCAAACGTTATCATAAATTTCTGAAGACGTTTTATGTTTTCGCCTGCAATCAGCCTGAACAGTTAAAATATTTAACGATAGAAAAAAAATTATTCATTTTTTATTAAGTTGATGTTTTGCCTGATACTATCATATTTTCATGACCAAAGTTTAGAGCTATGAACTATAAAATGAAATCGGTTATAGATATTTTTCAGCATTCGGTTGGTATTGTAAACTACGATAGATCATATCATTCCTTGGACATAAAAATATGAAAATTTAAAAAAATATTATCTTTTCATATTATCTTCCCAGCTTTAAAACTCAGTGACCTAAAAATTCCTATTGTGTTCTGCCCAACTCTTCCAAGGGAGACCAAATGTTTTGGCTAGCATCCACATATTTTATAGGTTAAACTCATTATTAATCCCTTAATATTATACAAAATAATTCAATATTTTACACTATAAAATAATTTTAGTGAACGATTTTTTAAGGCCGTTTTATGCATTTCATAAATATAATAAGGGTTGAAGAGGCCTATATTCTGGGTCATATTTTGAGAAGGGTCGGGGTGGATGTCCCGTGTTCTATTAAAAAAAAGTGATAAATATAGGGAAGAATTATTTGACGTATTTCCTTTAGTAACGTTCCTCTGCATTTTAATTCCGCTTCATCGTATATAAAGTTATTATTTAGCAACTTTTTCCTTTCTGAAAATATGAAATGATGATTCATGCTATAAATAATAAGTGATGAGAAGATGGTAAAAAACAAACTCATATTTGAATAAGAGTTTCGCCAGGAGTGAGTAGTTGTAGAAAACCTTGATTTTTGTCTTTGGTAAATTATGCAACAAGGAATGATTCCAGATGATATTTTATTTTATATATAAATTTTCATATTCCAATATGAATAGCCTAAGAAGGGCAGAGATGGAGTTAAGGCCTACATGATCTGTCATGCCAAAAAAAAAAATATATATATATATATATATATATATATATATATATACACACACAAACACCGGCCGATATACAGGGGGAGGAAGGACTTTCGGGCTGAATCCCCCCTCCCCCAAAAATGGTAAAATATAACATGTTTTACAGAAAACAATATTAAAAACTATCACTAAAAATACTATTTTTTAAAATTTAGTATTTATTTGACCGCACCCTCCTCCCCCTAACCAACTCCTCATATAATATCACGGTCAACCATCTCTACATCATTAAAAACTATCTGTTAAAGTATTCTTGTTCGTTTAATTAAATTTAAAAGGACTCCAAGAACCACCTAAACACTATTTCATATAGGTAGTCAATTTCTTTCTATTCTTTTTTCTAATTATTTATCGTTATATGTATATGAAAAAAAAATCTTTGGGGCTGAAGCCCCGCCCTCAAAATTAATTCCTGGATCCGCTACTTGTATGTGTAAATTTCCATTGGAAATAATACAAGGTACTACAATAAGCATTAATTCGTACTCAATAAATAGAAAATAAAAAGAATTATATATAATTTTCTTCCATTTGCCACTGGTAATGGTACTGATTGGAGGACTCAGTCTATTACACCTCCTCCTCTTTCTCAAATCTTTGAAATGAAGTCCAAAAGACATGGCCACTTTATAGAGGAAGTTTCCTGTTCTAGAATTCTGTCTAAACCCAGAAGTTTGTATTTGAGCGACACGAATCGCTTACATTCTGTTATATTGGTTAAGAGCAGTTTCCGGTTCTTGTCAGATGGCTGAGTTCACCGTTGACTATCCTGCAGATCTTTAGATGTCTTTCAAGGTTGCAGTGGTCTGTTCGTATCCATATGATTACTTGGATTTCCTTTTTAGCTAGTCCTTCACTCCTTACCTGCTTTTTCCTTATCATTCCTTTACCTAATCAACGCTTTATTTTCCCTGATGTTTCGTTAATAGTCTTATCGAAAGTTCTGGTCCCATAATAGGGATTTCAGATCCCTTTCTTGCGATGATGCCTGCTTCTCGTTACCTTCAATTACCTTATGTCCAGGGTTCCACACTAGATCTACAAAACTTGGAGCAGGCTTCAGTACCTGTTTACAGTCAGTCGCCAGTGCGGAGGTCCCTTTGGGGAATTTTAAGGCTTGAAGTGCTGACTGACTAAACGAATAGATGCCAACACTCTCACTGTTAATAATTTCCAAACATGCAGCTGCCGATGATATGGCACACTTCTGCCATAAATACGGTAACATGCTTGCATAATGGGATGCTTAGTTCCATATTTAAATTCTCTAGGAAGACTCCAGCGTCCGTTAAGCCGGTCGAGTCTTTCTTAGATCCGTATGTGAAACAGGGCATATAGTTCTTTTGAGTTCCTATTGTACCCGGCGCTTAATCTGTTGTTTTCCGATGCATGAAGTTGACTTTACTTGCAACTGCGCAGTAGCGCATCTAACAAATGTCATGTTACTGATTATTTCGAGCGAATTGTCTTGATGTACATATTAGGTTATTGATGAAGCTTTAGGTTATGAGCCGATGTCTGGAATATTATCTTCTTAATGAACGACTGGCAGGTGACAGAGAGAAAGAAATTGATAGATCAAGTGGATTGAGTTAAAGGATTAATTTTTTCATAGAATTTTAGTTTGCTGTTTGTATTTTTTTTTAATGTGTGTTTGTTTTATGTGTTTGAGTATACCCAAACTGGCCACAGTATGATGTGTATGTTGTAAACTAGTCGCTTTTTTCGTAAATTAAAAGAGAATCTAAAAATATTGAACGTGAGAGTATTGGTTATATCGTATCGACAGTACGTGTCTATCAATTTCGTATGAATTAAATAAAAATTATAATATATATGAAATATATATAGTATACATGTATGTGTTTTTTTTAATTTCTGGATAGGGGTAAAATCTTTTATAAGACGAAGTGTAACCATCAAAAGCCACACAACAGTGTGAGATTCCTGCTCACTTTAGCTTTTTAAAACCACCTCCCAATTCTTCTTTACCACCCTATGGAACCGCTGTCAAGCATTACTTCACGGGGTTCAGAAGGTCTATATGCCTACTTCTTCTTTTGACGCATATATGTATGTGTGTGTATGTATATACATATAAAGATTATATAGAAATAACCTTGTTTTTCACCTTAAAAATTATCGGATAAGAGATTTGAATTCAACGGAGGAGAAATCTAAATTGTTCGGTAAAATAAAATAAAGTATGTTGGCAGCAGGAAAATTAATTCGTAGTTATTCTTCAGAGTAAGTTTTCATTGTTATTATACAATAGCTGTCTTGAAGGTATTGTTCATTGAAGTCAAACTTTTGACAAAGATGCCTATAAATAAGTTTTGTTATGGTGAATGGAATATAATACAGAGAATAATATATAATTAAACGAACGGATGGAAGTGCTTAAAAATAAAATTAAGTTAAATCATCTTCTCCAAGTCTATTTGGCTGGTGTCTCCAAATGCTTTGAAATATACAAGAACGTACTGTACTGAATAAAATGTTCAACTTGAAGTCAAACAAACAAACAAGCTTTTTGTTATTACTTATCAATATATGAAATATACAGTGAGGAAAAGTATTCCGATCTTTAAAAAAATTAAAAACTCGGATTCTCAGCGGATATGGACGTTTTGAGGACTCCTGAGTCCTATAACCAAGTATTGCAAAAGTCCATGTTTATAAGAACAAAAAATACCAGTCGTTAGACAATGCATCGAATTATTACTCCGGAATAGTTAAAATATTTTCGTTTAATTGTGAAATACAAGCCGCTTAAAATATTTCAAGCAATTTTTACAGATAGATAAAACAATGGTAATTATCTTTCATTACTTTAGCCACCTTAATAGATTTAAATATGAATAATCGTAATACTCATAAATAAAATGACCACAACACACTGTTGTTAGGCAAGGTCCGTAGAAGGTTGAAAAGGAGCTGGACGAGGGATCTTTCCGCCTAACAATTAATATAAATATCAGGCGGGGAGGGAGTGCCGCTGGGTACTGACACTCCCCTCCTCATGCCTCTCACACGAAACTTACTATTTTTTTATTATTTTTTATGATTAAATTTAATTTTTTACTATTATTATAGATCATAAATTATATTATATTTTATTTATTTATTTATTTTATTTTATGCAATTTGCACCTGCGCAGCTGCGCATCTAGCAAATTTGTTGTATTTTTATTGTCTTGGTGTAATTGCTTGATTTTTTTTTTTTTTTTTATTGATGTAGTAGGTCTCTTGGCCATTTTCTTCTTAATCTTCGTTGCTCAGGTAACAGGGAGCAGGAGATAGAAAGAACCAGAGGATTGGAGTGATTTTGGGTTGAAGAATGAAATGTAGTGTATTTGTCGTGGATGTAGGATTTTACTGTTGGGATGTTTAAGTCGTTATGTATAGTAGTGTTTGAAATGTACCAAGGTGCGTTAACAATTTTTCGTATAATTTTTGATTGTGCTGTTTGTATTTTATTTATGTGTGTTTGTTTTGCTGAACCCCAAAGTTCTGCTCCATATGTCCATATTGGTCTCAGTAAGGTGTTGTAGATAAGTCGCTTGTTTCGTAAGTTAAGTGAAGATCTGTAGTCCAGAAGATGTGAAAGTTGGCTATATCGTCTAGTAAGTTCTTGTCTTTTTAATTTCGTATGTATGTTCCAAGTAAGCCTTTTGTCTAAGTAGAGTCCAAGGTACCGTACATAGTTCTTTGAAGGCACTGGATTATTGGCAATCGTTATGGGTGGACATGAGGCTTTCCTAAGAGAGAAACTAATGTGGGTGGATTTTGTACTATTAATTTTGATTCTCCAGTTTTCAAACCACTTTTCAAGAGAATGAAGATGGTTTTGTAGGGCAATTGATGCGATAGTAGGATTTTTGTGTGAAGATAGAATAGCAGTGTCGTCAGCGAAGCAATAAATGGTGGTATTAGGGTGCTCAGGGATGTCAGAAGTGTATATAGAATAGAGGATTGGGCTCAAGACGCTACCTTGTGGTACGCCTTTGTGTTGGGGAAAGAAGGAAGATACAGAAGAGTCTACGGAAATACAGAAAAATCTATTAAGAAAGTAGGATTGAAGAATTAAAAAATAAGTGGAAGGTAAGTGCGGTTTTAGTTTCCATAATAGGCCCTTGTGCCAGACACTATCAAATGCTTTCTCTATGTCGAGAAAGACGGCAGAGCAATATTCCTTTTTTTCAAAAGTCATAGAGATAGCATCTACTATCCGATGGCACTGTTGCACAGTAGAGTGATAACAGCGAAAGCCAAACTGGTGATTTGGTATCACTTCACTATATTCTAGAATAGGCTTCAGTCGGTTTAGTAATAGTTTTTCAAATAGTTTGCCCATTATTGGAAGAAGTGCTATAGGACGATAGGATGAAGGAGAAGTGGTAGGTTTTGAAGGTTTGGCAATCATTTTGATTGTGGAGAGTTTCCAAAGGAGAGGAAAATAGGTAGTGCGTAAAATGGAGTTATAGATATGTGTAAGAAACAAAACAGCTTTTCGAGGTAGGTGTCGAAGAATGAAGGGAGTGATTAGATCATAGCCAGGAGCTTTTTTGTTTGGTAGTCTGTTGATTTCTTTGTAAATTTCTTTCGGATGAAATGCCGGTGGGGGTAGTGATAAGGGTAGTGGTGTTGTCAGTTCTTCTTCTATTGCGTCAGTAAAATTATTGTCCTGTATTCTGTTTGTCCCAAATACTTGTGCAAGATATTTAGCGAATTCATTGGCTTTTTCTTCGCTTGTTATTGCCCAAGTGTTGTCTGTACGTCGGAGAGGGTATTGAAGGTCTTTTTTCTTTAGTATACGTCTTGTTGTTGTCCATATTGATCCATTTCTATTGTTTATTGTGTCTATGTAGTCTTTATAGCTGTCATTTTTAAATTTTAATAGTTTTTCGTGAAGTTTTCTAGTTAGTTTGTTGAGTTCTGTTTTGTACGATGGATATCTAGTTCTTTGCCATAGGGCTCTAATCCTACGTTTTTCTTTTATAAGATTATGTATTGGCTGAGGTAGGTAAGAAGCAGGTTTAGTGTATGTCTTTGGTGGTCTCGTTGAATGCCAAATAGCCTCTTGTATACTTTTTGTTAGGTCGTTGACTGCATTGTCGAGGTCGTCAGCTGTACTAATTAAAGTGTTTAACGTAATTTTGTTGTTTAAAAAATGTTTAAAGTCGTCCCAGTTTATGTAACCGTTAATTAATGTCGGGGGTTTGGGTTTAACGAAAGGGTTGTTCGAAAGTTCAAGTAAAATTGGGCTATGATCAGATGAAAGGTCAAGGAGAGAGGAAACGTTGGAATGTGCATGTGGTAAGGAGCTTGTGACAAAGAAATCAAGAAGATCGGGAGACTTTGATAGTGAAGTAGGCCAGTAAGTAGGTTGAGATGGCGAAATTACAGAAAATTTCAAATCTTCAATACATTTTTGTAGTCTTTTTCCACGAGTATTGGACACTCTAGATCCCCACCTTGTGTTTTTTGCGTTAAAATCTCCTCCTACAATGAATGATTTTCCCATTGTCGAGAAAATAGCCTTTAATTCATTCGTGGATATAACTTTATTGGGAGCTATATAGACTGAGGCAATCGTGAGTTGGAATTTTGAGGAGTTTAGAGAAATATTGGTGTATTGTAGGGAATTCGTAGAAGCAGCAGGAAGAATATGGTGATTTAAGGACTTGTCCACAATAATTGCAGTTCCTCCATGTGCTGTGTGGTCTGGATGGTCAGTTCTGTAAGTTTCGTAATCTTGTAGCTTAAATGTTTGTTTGTCTGTTAAATGAGTTTCAGTAATCAGAGCTATGTTTATGTCATGTTCTTTTAAACAAATTTCCAGTTCATTTTTTCGTTGGAGCAGACCATTGGAGTTCCATAGGAGTATTTTTAGAGAAGGTGATTTCGAATTAGTCATTGGAAGGATTAGAAATGAAAGTAGAAACTAGTTTAGTTAGAAGTTCTAAAATAGGGGATAAAAGGGATTTAAGTTCAGTTAGAAGAGGTTCCATAGAAGATTTTATAGCTGAAGAAATATCAAAAGTTGAAGTAGAAGGTTGGATAGAAGCTGTAGAAGGATATCTCCCTGTTACCTTAGCACAGGAGACCCCTGCCACGGTAGACGGTTTATCACTACTCTGCGGTGTTAGATCTTTCTCTTCTAATTTTTGAACTGATTTAACGTGTTCTTCATTTGTTTCTATTGATATTAATTTAGCTGTTGAA